TCCTTGACATCACATCGTATGCAACTCAGCTGCGCTAGTGCTGGTGTAGAAACAACTCTAAGCTGCTATAAGTCGAGTACGATTCTTGAACGTTTTCATTTCCGTCTTGTACCCAGTCTGGAATTGTTTATTGGAGGAATTCATCTTTTAATGAATTCTCGTGTACTCTCAAAATTAAAATCAAAGGAATCTCTAATTTAAAGGTTTTCTTGAATGTAACTTTCTTTTGTAACTTTTCTGCCACTTTTTTGCTGGCTTTTAATCTAATATTTTTATTGATTCTCATTAAAAAAAAAAAAAGGGGAGAGGGAATGGAACTTGGAGATTAAGAGAAACAGAAAAAGTAAAATATATCAGGAAAAGCTGACGGCATACGAAAGAAAAAGAAATTTATTGCCACAAGTAAAGGAAAACACACAAGCACAAGAAAACAGTCATTATTTTTCAACATCTGGGCATGTCTCTGCTGGAGAGTCACTTCTACGCATTTCTTGATTCTCAGCCTTGCTTCTTCCCCACAGGACACAAAAAAGACCTCCAACAATCAGAATACCACCCAATATACTGTGGCAAAACACAAGTAACAAATTAAAAACGGCAGCAGTAGAAGAAAAACATTAACTAGGTTTTTTTTTTTTTTTTTTTTTTTTTTTTTTTTTTTTTTTTTTGTTGAGTATTTCACTTGAAAGCAAAGCAACAAACCTCTCCCAGTTCAACCGTTCAGCCCAGAAAAATGCTGAGAAGATAGCAGTAAGCAGCAATGCAAGTGGAGTAAAAATGGCGACGTAAAAAGGCCCTTTCTTCCCTACGCACCAAACTTGGAGTCCGTATGCAGTTACAGTTACAAGTACACCCTGCATTAATTCCATTAAGCAAGCCATAAACTGAATGATAACTAGGAAAAGTGAAAATTAACGATGTTGAAGTGGTATAACAATATAATAATGTATAAAAAACTGAGACTTACACAATATACAAGGGTAGCAAGTTGAATATCCCACCTCAGCTTCCATGAGTTAAGTCCTGGCCCCAAGGCAGCTGCTATAACAGTAGATTGCACAGAACTGAAGAGACACTGTAAAGTGGAGAGGCGTAACCTGGCAGGATAAACTTCCAGCAATTTTGATTGAACGATAAGCCAACATGACCCAGATATGGTAGAAAGGATCATTAGAACAGGCCCTAAGATTAATCTCGTTCTACCCTCCAATTCATCTATAAAGAATGTTGCTTTGCTGCTTCCTGAATGACTTGGCGAGTGAGGGTGACTTCGGTAGAAGCTAAGCATCATACCTCCTCCAACAGTTATGACTATTCCAAGGATCTTTAGTCCACCGTAGAATGATCTCCAGCCTACAGCCTCCATCCTACCATTTTGAATTTTCACATCTTTTTAAAAGATTGGATTATTAAGTAATCGTCAAACCATGTTAGGATTTTTTCTTCTAAAGAAAATTCAGAAAGAAAATTTTGTTGCTTACCCGAGAAGGATAGATAAGTTAAATGTGACAACTGGTAGGCAATTATAAATGGCAGTAGCAAATGTTGCTGAGGTTAAATGCAGCGCTGAATAGTATAGATCCAAGCACATTGTTGGCCTGCATTTTCACCAGTCAGACAGCATAAAATTTATCTAACGTCACTCAATCAAGATGATTACAGTTGTTTTCATCAACAAAATCCAACATTTTATAAGAAATTTGAAACAATTCAATCCTATCAAACAAAAGTTAAAGGCTTAAGCAGTTCTGTAAAACGCTGCTAGCTAGCTGATAGATCTACTCACCCTAATAGAGCAGCAACAAAAATCTTGCAGAAGAGGCAAAATGATATGGGTCCGCTGTTCTTCCTACATGGAAAATTGACAGAGTCTTAGTGCATGCACCCCATTTTACTGCTTGTTAAAACTTGCAGGAATCATCTTCCTTGAAGTAAAGCCAAACATAAAAGCAATATAACATGAAGTGCTCAAGATTAGAAACGAAAACAAAAGAATCAACCTCTCCAAAAAGAGAACAAGGAGTGCCAACACAACTGTGGCGATGGTTTGACGATAGGCATTGAGCACTAAAGGGCTCATCCCATCATTAAACGCGGCCTTTGATATTAAGGCCATTCCTGAAGAACTAAACTGTACGAAAATCATTGTCATCAAGACTTGATGACTAATTACCATAAACTTTAAAGCTCTGAAAAGCTCCATGACGCAGGCCATGATCGATAGAGAAGTGAGCTCATCAAATGGTAAAATATAAAGGAAATGAAAACCTAATGTGTAATGAAGCAAACATACAGCAGCATTGTGGCAATTAATATTATCAAATTAAACAATCTCAACTCACCTGTCATTTTCATAGAAACCATATAGATATTCCATTTGCTGATACTTATTTACCTTTTTAAGAATATTGGAGAGATGACTGGACAAAGCATAAAAGTTAAGCTTCTCTTTCGTTCTTAATTCCATGTGGGTCGAGAATATTCAAGGAGATGACTGGTCAAGCGAATACTCTAACCTATCAGTCGTTCAAGTTGATATATACTATTTATATCATTCTCCTTCAAGACTGTACGTACGATATGAATTGACAATAATGTTAGCAAATGAATCATGGAAGTAAATAAAATAAAAAGAAATAAATAATCACACTATACAAGATTTACATAGTTCTTTTTAAGTTTTCAATCGGTTACAAATATAAAAAATATTATCTATATTTATAGCATAGCATAAACAACTAGAATTGTTAAGAAAAATCATTTATGAGCCTATTCAACTAGTAAAATTATCGAGTTAATACTATGTAACTAAACTGTAAATATGTAAATTATATTTACGTCAGTTTTTATAATTCAACAAATAATGCTTCAAAATGCCTGGGTCATCCAAATTTGTCCTTTCCCCTTTCTTCTTCCTAAATTTTACACACCGTGCTGCAAGAAGAAAATGTGGTATCACAATTAGTTGGTCCATGGTCTCCAATGGTGAATAGATTCACCTAATAATTTCTCCCTTTTTTTCGCTATAGGACATTATTTCAGTTTTGTTAAAAAAATACAAAAATTATAATCCAGTAGTTAAAAAAGATACGAAAACTCAAAATGATAGGATGGAAGTTCTTTGGTGGACTAAAGATCCTTGGAGTAGTCATAACTCATAACTGTTGAAGAAGCCATGATGCTTAGCTTCTACAGAAGACACCTTAACTCGCCAAGTCCTTCAGGAAGCAGAAAAGGAACATTAATTCTTCACATATGAAATGGAGGATCAACTTGGAATATTTATCATAGGGCCTGTTATAATGTTCCTTTCTGCCATAACAGGATCAACTTGGCCTTTCGTTCAATCAAAATTTCTGAAGTTTATCCTTCTAGGTTACGCCTTTCCACTATAAATTTGGCGTGTAGAGAAGAAAGGGCCATTTCACCTTGCATATTTCTTTCTCCGCTTGCATTGCTGTTTACTGATATCTTCTCAGCATTTTTCTGGGCTGAACGGTTGAAATGGGAAAAGTCTGTTGCTTTCAAGTGAAATAGACCAAAAAAAAAAAAAAAGAACAAATTAATTCACGGTTAATGTTTAACAAATTAATTCACGGTTAATGTTTTTCTTCTAGTGCTGGCTTTTTAGTTTGTTCCTTAGTATGTTTCTTGTGTCCTTGCCTCAGTATATTGGGTGATATTCTGATTGTTGGAGGTCTTTATTGTGTCCTGTGGGGAAGAAATGAGGCTGAGAATCAAGAAATGCTTAGAAGTGATGACTCTCCAGCAAAGAAATGCCCAGATATTGGAAATAATGACTTTTCCTGTGCTTAAGTGTTTCTCTCGTATATAAACTGCTTCTCTTGTATTTTCTTTTAACAGACAAACTATCAACAGGCTGATGAAAGACCTTACAAAAAAATTTTGAATGTCATGTCAAGCACCCATAACCGATCAACGAGGAGACATAAAGTGTTAGTTGAGCTGTTAAAATAATATTCCTAGGAATGGAAGTTTGCTCTTGAACAGTACATGCTCCTGTAACAAACCGCTCCAGAATATATTTATCAGTTTGTGGTCATAGAATTACAGCAGAAAAGCAAAAGCATCTTAAGTTAGCTGGCTTCTGGTTCAAGCATGTTCTTTTTGAGTTATAGTGGGCTTGCTTCTTATCTAGCATGTTGCTGAACTGATGTGAATTCCACTAGCTAGCTAAAGAAAGAGATGTCACTGCTTCACACAAGACTGAGAATAGCTAAAGAAAGAGATGTCATTGTTTCACACAAGAAGTGGCTGAGATTGATCCTTTATCAATATTTAAAGGGCAAACTGATCAAGTGTTCCGTCTTCCGTTGCAGTGAACAAATATTGCGTAACCATGGAAACCTGTGCTTCATATGCGACAATAATACTAGTTCAATTAGCTTGTGGAGGAGCAAATATCCTCATGAAAGTTGCTCTTGAGAAAGGATCCAATCAACTTGTCCTTGTGGTCTACCGACATGTCATTGCTATGATTTTGTTGGGCCCTTTTGCTTATGTACTTGAAAGGTAAAGAACTATCTATGATTAATGTTGTTGCATTCATTTGTTGGTAATCAAGTTTCCTCATGCGTTTTTTTACAGTTAAGAAAATAACATTAGTACTAACAGAATAGCTTAAAATATCATGGATTTGTAATTACAGCTATTCGGAGAATATGAGAACTTGTAATTTATGTTTTTGCAAAGCAGGAAGCAGCGCTCTTCGCTTTCGTTGTCGGTGATCACAAAGATTTTTGTGCTTTCAACGCTAGCAACTACCATCAATCTTAATGTTTACTATGCTGGTATGGCATATACTTCTCCAACAGTTGCAACCGCTTTGAGTAATGTTGTCCTGAGTTTTACATTCATCATGGCAGTGTTACTGGGGTATTGCTCGAATGACCTCAATGAATAATCAATTCAGCTGATCCACTTTTAAGTTCACTAGAATCTAGATCCCATCTTCCTGATTTGCTTCTATCTTATTCAGGATGGAGAAAGTGAAGATCACAAGTCTTAGAGGATGGGCTAAAATGTTAGGCGCAGTTATCTGCATTACTGGTTCGCTGGTTTTCACCTTCTGGAAAGGAGGATATCTGTTCCAAAGTATTGAGAGCAGGCCATTGATAAACATTAATAGCACCAAAGGTTCTGCTGGTGAGTACAGGCATGCTAAAGAAAACTGGATCAAGGGTTCTGCACTTATTCTTACAAGCAATATTGCAGGGAGTGCGTCGCTAATTCTCCAGGTAATTATCTGTTTTATTTGAATTAGACATGTTCTGTAAGGTTTTGCTAATAATTGTGTCCTACTCACTCAGGCTGTGGTTCACAAAGTCTATCCAGCTCGTTTATCGCTGAACACTTTGATTTGCTTCTTCGCATCAATCCAATCTTCTTTCCTTGCACTGTTTTGTGAAAGAAATCCCGCAATGTGGAAGTTGGAGTGGAATGTGCAGCTCGTGACCATTATATACTGTGTAAGTAGTTTCTGCATAACTCATTAATTTGATGCTATGTAGTCATTCAAGTCGTTCATTTGTTTTTTGCTGATATATATTTTGCTATAGGGAGTAGTGATCGCAGCATTAGTCTACTACCTGCAAACATGGTGTATTAGTCACAACGGACCAGTTTTCGCAGCAATGTTTACTCCACTACAAGTTGTCTTCGTCGGAATATTCTCAGCAATTGCTTTTGCAGAAAGAATTCATTTGGGAAGGTGAGCTATTAGATGCTTGTCTTCTAACAATTCAGACCTTTAATTCTTTCGGTATCTCTACCATTATTTGTATCCTGGTATTGATTTTAAATGTATGACTTTTCACTGGATTTGCACTTGACATTTCCCAGCATGATAGGAACAGGTCTTATTGTTCTTGGCCTTTACTGTGTACTGTGGGGCAAAAGGCAGGACGAAAATGCTGCTAAGCAGCCTGATGAAGGAAAAGGCATCGGCGATAATAGAACATTGGAGATTTCTATGGATGACTACGCGTTAGCGAATCCTGACCCAAGCGAAAGGAAGTGAAGATTCAGACGTACCTGGAAGAAATCAGACACAAGGTCGTTGTCAGCAATTATTGCATCGACTCTGAAGTCACAGTGGTGTCTTGCATTTGAATAAACTTCCACGGAAGTCACAGTGGTGTCTTGCATTTGAATACTCAAAAGGACTATTCACATGCTCTCGTTTCCTATTTGCTTACTATGCATGCTAGTAAATATGATAAAAATCAAACGTAGTTTTACCATAGTCGTTAAGCTCTTTTTTTAGCTTTTTGTGAATTTTTTTTCTTTTCTTTTTTTTTTTTTTTTGTGTGTGTTCATTTGGGTTTTTATTTTTTTGATATTTTAATTTAGGTCATTGAAGTTTTGATAGTGTGATTTTTTACCCATTATGCAAAAAACCTTTTTTTACTTCTTTGTTTTGGTTCTTACATTATACTTTTATTTAGATTTTTTAAAATTTGAAATTATTCTTATCGTGCTCATTTATATTGTTGTATGTTAAATTTTTTAAAATATTTTATTGAATTATTGAAAATATATAGGTTTTTTTATTTGATTTTAATACATTACTGAAGTAAATTAGCATGTCTATTTATTTATTTATTATTTTCTTTTTTTTGTGTCTTGCGAATAAAAATATGATATTTTTTGGGAGAAATTGTTTTTTTGTTTTAATGTTTCTATATCTTTTTAGTAAAAAATTTCTTTCTATTTTGGTTTTTTATTTTTGTTATTAAAGTTTTGTCGTTTTGCATGTATATAAAATCTCAACTATTTTGTACTATGCCAAGCTAAAACAAAGATTTTTACATCTATTCGCTTGTGTCCACATAATATTTCTTTTCTTTTTTTTATCCAACAATATCTAACAAGTTTGATCATATCAATTAGACACACAAATTATAGATTAAAAAAAAGGTGAAAAATATGACCATTAAAGTTTCAAGAAGCTATTACATCATTATTTTAATTGCTAGTTTATATATATATATATATATATATATATTTGATAAAATACATGATTATATCAAGTAATATTTAATTAACAATATTATATTGCTTAACATTGTAGATGTTTCCTTTGAATTTTTTTGCATAGTCTTTTTAAATAACTATTTTGCACAAAAAAAAATTATTGCGGTCATTGTTTTGTATTTTATTTTTGTATTATTGTCTAATAAAAAGTCATTATGAGATTGTTTATTTTTTATTCCTATAAAGTAGATTTATCTAAAATTGTTAAAATAATTTCTTTACATATTGTTTTAAACTATTTTATTACCACTATTAAATGAATTGTTAGAACTCTCTGTTTTATATAGTTGAACACATAAGAAGGTCGGCTCGGAATGCATGCTATTAAATATACTAAAAGTAGTTCTGTTGTAGCTAAGCTTTTTTTTTTTTTTTTGGCTTTTTGTGAATTTTTTGTCCAATTTAATCCATGTTTTGTGATTTAACCCTATTTTGGTCATGTGATTTTTGGCTCTACATGTTGCAAAGTTTTTTTGCTTCTTCATTTTAGTTCTTATTTTATACTTTTATTTTGATCTTTTAAAATTTAAAATTATTTTATTGTCTTCGCTTTTATTATTATATTTTCATTTTTATTTAAAATAATTTATTGAATTATTGAAAATAGGCTCTTTGATTTGATTTTATTACATAACTGAAGTAAATTAGCATATCTATTTATTTAAATAATTTTTTCTCGTTCTGCGAATAAATAATTTTTTTTTTTGAGAAATTAGTTATATTTAGGATTGTATATGAAAGATTTTATAAGTTTTGATATCAAATATGACCAAAGACCTAAAAAAAAACTAAATTAAACTTTATATTTCTAGATGAAGATAATGTAATCTCTAAAATTTTACTATTCCTAAAGCCCTTCTTCGGCTTCGGCTAAAATTTTCTTTTTGTTTTGGTTCATGTTATGCAATCCTTCTTTTGTTTTGATCATTTAAGTTTTGTTATGTGTCATTTTTGTTCCTACCTTATGTATGATGGGTTCTTTGGTTTTATGTGCTTTTTTTTTTAATTGAAAATTTTCTTTTTATTTTGGTCTATGTTTTGATCATTTATGTGATCTTTATTTTATTTTGATCATTGAAATTTTATCATTTTACATGTATATAAAACCTCTATCATTTTGTACTCGAATCAAGTTAAAACAAAGCTTTTTTTAGGTATATTTACGTATCCCAATAAAATATTTTATCATATCAAGACCAACAAATTATAAATTAAAAAGAGATAGTGAAAACTATCACCATTTAAGATTCAAAAGGTTGCTACATAATTATTTTAACCGTCGGTTGTTACACATACATAATTATTTTAATTTTCAGTTGTTATACATATCTTAATAAAATGATTGATTGTATCATGCAACATTAATTAGCAATATTATATTTCTCAACTTGACATGTTTATTTTATTTATTTTTTTGAATTTTTTTAAATTTGTTCCACTTAGTCCTTTTAAATAGTTTGGTTTTCTTTTTCTTATTATTGTATGATAAAAAAAAAAAAATCAATCGAGGACCTTTTATTTTTCTTTCCTATAAATTAGATTCATCTAAAAGTTTTAAAATAATCTATTTTCAAACTATTTTAAATAATTTTATTACAGCCATTGTATAGATTGTCAGAACTCTTTATTTTATATGGTTGAATACATGAAAATACTGTGTAATTGACATCGCGAAAACGCGCAGCATGCGCGCTAGTGTTTCTCTATTAATAGACAAATGATGACATAAGGAACAGCTTGCTAATGGCTGACAAGGGGTCCACTAAATTCAGTGACTGGTTAGTGGTAGTTAATGCCCTCGGGCCTCATCCATTTGCCTGCTAATGGTAATGTTGTCATGAATGGACTATCATTTAGTTCCAGCACACTGCTTTATGCCCAGTTTTTTTGGTTAGAGTAATACCAGGCGTAGATGTAGAGTATGAGTATTATGACTGTATGTATGAAATGAGGAGAGATTTTCCTGACTGCTTCTATGTCTTCACTTCAAGGAGTTCTCAATATCAATAACAAACCGGTACTTCACATCGTTCTTTGTCATCCTCTCAAGAGCTTCATTTATGTACTGAATTGGAATTACTTCGATCTTGGGGTAAATTTTATTAGCGGCACAAAAGTCCAACATCTCTTGGGTCACTCTGGTTCCACCTGTTATGCTACCAGATACAGTTTTCCTACCTGCCAGAATGTTAGTTTGAGCAATTAATTTCGCTTGCGATTTTTTTTATCAATGGAAGACTATCAGAACATTCACTTAGAAAAAAATGAAGTAAAAAATTCTGGAGTAAATTACCAATTAGAAGGTTTGCAGGACTGAATTTCACTTCACTTGGGAATCCAACAAGAACAAAAACACCAGCAGTCTTCAAAAGAGACATGTATGGGTCAAATGGGTGATCGCCTGATGCTGTGTCGATTATGAAGTCAAGTGATTTGGATAAAGCCTGTGTAAAAATATCAAATATCAACAAAACAAAGAAAGAAAGAAAGAAAGAAGCAATCGATTGCTCATTTCATTAGATAAAAACTTGCTTTTGAGAAATTCTTGTCACTTCACCTTCATCTGCTCTTGATAAGATGTAATCACAAAATTGTCTGCACCGAGCACAGTCAAGGCTTCCTCCTTTTTCGATATGCATGTGCTTAAAACAGTGACTTTCAATCCAAAAGCCTTACCAAACTTCACTGCCATGTGACCCAGACCGCCAAGACCAATCACTCCAAGAGATTTACCAGGTTGGTTCATCTTATGTTGCTTCATGGGGTTGTAATCAAAGTAGTAATCAAAAGTTACTGGCATAACTGATTTTTTCATGTTTTTATCTTTTCCACAATAATAATTATTTTCTGTATCCTGATTTAAGTTACTAATTTCTTTAAAAACAAATTACCCAAATATGGATTTTGGCTCAGCTTCAAACTGTTAATCACTCATCTGTTCCTATATATCAAAGAAACAACAAGAAAAAAAAAAAGCAAACAAAATTAATCACTCATCTGTTCCTATATACCAAAAAAAAAATGCATTTAAAATCATTCCCCAGTTTCTTAACTTGCAAAGAAACAAAGAGAGTGCAAAAAGGTCTTCGTCTCGGTCTTCTAAAATAATTCCAGGTTTGTATTTATGCTGACAAGTCTTCCTTGGATAAATCAGCAAAGAAAATTCAACATTAATTGTTGTTTCTTGACTTTCCTTTCGTCCTAGTGACAAGTGGGTAAGACTATAAAGAATCTGACTTTTAGAATCCGTAAAAAGTTAGAAGTGATCTAATATTAAAGAATCTGTTTTTTGTTGCACATAGATAACAAAACCTTTTCAACTAACGTCCAAAGTAGCATAACAGATTCAGCAATTTCTATTCTATTGCTTTAACAATATAATATGGCGTAGGAGACCAAACCCATATCCATCATCCTCTACCCATAAAAAAAGACCTAATTGCCTCTGTAGTGTTCTGGCAGCAATGCATTAATTATGAACCAGTAATTCACGTCATTCTTTATCATCCTCTCGGGAGCTCTAAATTAATCCTTTCTTATTTTGTTGAGTATTTTGATGAGTACATGAAACGAAAATAATTATCTATACGGTTTTTTCATTAGAAAAAAAAATTCATTATAAGATTATTTGTTTAAATAAATAAAAATTCTTTCGTTCAAATGTCTCACGTTTTTCAAGTGATGTGAGATGGCATCTGTCATTGTAGAAGTTGTCTCGGCGTAACATCCTTGCGTCCACCACATGTCTCGGGTTGATGTTGGCTACTTTGCCGACAGGAAATCCCCGTGCAGGCCGCTTGCCGACTTAATTGTACCAAAATATGGCATTTACTGGAGCTATTTATTTATTTTTTAGAACCTACGAGATTTGGGTGTTTTCAAATCAATGTTGGCTAAATCAATGTTGGCTAGCTAGCTATCTATAAACTTTGATTTTTTATTTATTTATTATTATTTTTAGAGTGATTGATTGCTGTATTTTCGAATCAATAAGACAGATCCAAAGGACGGAATCTCAGACTGAAAAGTGGGAGGTAGAAGAAAAAAAAAATTAGAAACAATCACTTCAACTTGAACTAGATGCCTGTGCAATATTTTATTCAAATTAAATAATTCAATAACTCTCACCTTAGCTATATTTCTATCCTTACTCTTAATTTTCTTTTGGAAAAAATAAAATTAAAAATTAGCCATCGTCTCTAAGAAAATCACCAGCCCAATCCTTAATCTCCCTAGTTCTTCCTTTTTTCTTTTCTTTGTTTTATTTTGCTTTTCTTTTTAGTGGGTTAATAATTTAGAACTACATTTTAAATCTAAATTTGATTTGTACATAAAGTTCCTATTAAGGATGTTTTATCATTCAAATAAGACTTCATGTTTTTTTACTAGGTTATGGCGAATGCTTTTTATTGGTTGAGAGAGACTATCATACTCTTTGGCAATTTTGGATAGTTGAGATTTTCCTATCAATAGAGTTTGGCATTGCCGTCTATTAATATCTATAAATAGAATATTTGGATTTAAAAGATCATTACTTATTATTATTATTGTAAAAGGATTTTGTTGTAATTTTGTTTTATTTTTTTAAGGTAACAAATTGTAATTATCTTCTTAGTTTTTTTGTATTATATTGTCGCAAAGATGTCAATGAAATTAAAATCTTTCATCAATAAAATAAACTATTTATTTCTTTTTACATGATGATATGTGTATTTTTTTTCATGTTGATATATGCCATACGATGATCCTTAATTTAAGTTCCTGGAGGGTTGGCGGGTGCTTACCAACATAAAGATCTGACCAAATCATATATATGGATTATCATTGACTGAGGAAAACGACAAGGAGGATAGCATGCCATTTTCTTACAATAAAATTAAATCTATTTTGACATGACATGCCTTTTTTTTAACAATAAAATTAAATCTATTTTGATTTAGCATATCAGTTTTGATATGAAAAAATCAAATAGAATTTTATTACATTATCTCAAAATTTCAAATTAGAGTTTCCCTTCGCGTAGCATTTGATTTAGCATATCAGTTAAGACTGTAAATGTACAGTATTTTTTAAGCTTAGTTTAAAGGGTAATGGTAAATAAGTGGCAATTTATTAATTAATTTCTTAATCATTATTGATTATGATTAATTTAATATTATTTTATTTTAAAAATACTTTTTTCATTAATATTTTTAAGTTTTTACTTTTTTTTTCTATCTATTAAAACAAAACAAAAAACAAATTAAAAAGAACCAAAAGAATTAAGTTAATTTAAAAATATATGGACCAATTAAATAGTTTTTGAACTTAGAAGTACTATTTTTTCTGATTTCGAAAAAATAGAGGGCCTAATTTATAATTTACTTCCCAAACGGTAAGTCGTTAAGGAACACTTGCAGTTTCAAATATCTCAAACTTCGAAATTCCTACTTATTGGCTCAGTGAAAAAAGACATCGAAGTAGCCAGCTACGAGCTGTAAGGCATTAATTATTTATTGTTTGGGCAGAAAGGAACAAGCCTTTTCACATGGCATGCAACCTCCCCATAAAATTATAGAATGAGAAGTCGTCACTATGTAATTTAAAATCTAAGAATTTTCTAATAAACTTCCCAAAACAGTGTGATTACACTTATTGATACAAATATGTTCACAAATCTATCAAAAATGTTAAATATTTTCAATAAAAAAAAATCTTACCACTGTTTGGGATGAGGATGGTATTTAATTCTCATCTTTTTTAAGCTAATAAAACACAAAATTCTTACCAATAAATTTTTTTTCTAACTATAAATGAACTAATCACGTCAATAATTTAAGAAGTTCAAATTCTGAAGTTATAATTATTAAAAATAAATAAATATTATCGCTTCATTTGAAATGTAATTAATTTTATTTTTCAATACAGGATGAAGATACTTAGATTAAAAAAAAAAAAAAAAAACCACAGGATATTTTATTTTTTTAACCCCTTCAATACAAGTTAATTACAAACCCATCCTCCCTTCACAATCTTAGATTAGGTCCTTGACATTCAAGTATAAAAGTAAATCGCATACCAATAATAATAATAATAAATTTTGATAATGCTGCATGGTTGAGAGAGAAAGATAAGGGGGTAGGTGTGAGATTGACCGAACCACCTGTTTCATACCACGCAAAACCGTCGTCTTCTTTCGAGACCTTCTCAGATAAAAACCCCCTCACCCCCTTCTTTTTAACTCAGCTTGACAACTTATATATCAAATAAGAGTCTGTTCCTTCTTCACCTAGTCATGGCTCCCACCTCTAACCTACTCCTAGCCGATCTTGCTTCTTCAGGTGTGAAACAAATTCCATCTAATTACATCCGTCCCATCTCCGACCGTCCGAATCTCTCCAATGTTCAGAATTCGGATGGCTCCACCATTCCTCTAATTGACCTCCTGGGTCTTAATGGTCCTAACCACTCTTTAATAATCAAACAAATTGCCCAAGCGTGCCAGAATGATGGCTTCTTTCAGGTAATAAAACTATGTTCATTTTTTTGCTACTTCTGCCTCATTTACATCTTTCTTTTGCTTTGCCAGGACTGCGTATAAGTGTTTTTGTTGTATTTTTGAGCTTTGCGCCCTTTTGTTTTTGTTGTATTCCTTCTAATAAAAATCTATATGGTTGTTTTTCTTACAAAATACATGTACGTACAATTGGTGTCAGGTGAAGAACCATGGGATACCAGAGGAAATGATCAACAACATACTAAACATGGCTAGAAGATTCTTCGAACTGCGCGAAAGTGAAAGGTTAAAAAATTACTCTGATGATCCTACTAAGACGACCAGGTTGTCTACCAGTTTTAATGTTAAGACAGAACGAGTTTCTAGCTGGAGAGATTTCTTGAGACTTCATTGTTACCCTCTTGACGACTACACACATGAATGGCCTAGCAATCCTCCATCATTCAGGTAATTGAATGTGTCTGAAATTTGTTTCGTTTTTCGTTCTTATTTTTCAGCTGCTGTTTAGATCGGTGCACATCATACCTTTTGTCTTTCTTTTGTTCCCATTTTGCAGGAAAGATGTGGGTGAATATTGCACAAGTGTTAGAGGTCTAGTGTTAAGACTGCTTGAGGCCATATCAGAAAGTTTGGGGCTGGAAAAAGACTGTACAGATAAGAAATTAGGGAAGCATGGACAGCATATGGCTATGAACTACTACCCACCCTGTTCACAGCCAGAGCTCACGTATGGATTGCCTGGACACACTGACCCTAATTTAATCACCATTCTGTTACAAGATGACGTGCCTGGATTGCAGGTTCTGAGAAATGACAAGTGGATTGCTGTGAATCCCATTCCCAACACCTTCATCGTCAACATTGGTGATCAAATGCAGGTGAACCTTTCTATCCTTTCCTATTGAAGGACAAAACATTTATAAAAAATGGGGTTTCAGTTAATGCAAGAGTAAATTGTAAATTAGTCTTTCTATTTTTGCAAAATGAATTACGAAGTTTTTTTTTAAAAAAAAATTAATTAATTAGTCTTTTTCGTTCATTTCATTAAGTTATTTTAAAAAAAAAAACAAAGTAATATTAAATTAAAAAACTTACTAATTAGTTTTTTTTTTTTTGATTGTTGTGTTATGATTAGGTCCTTAGCAATGGTCGTTACAAGAGTGTGCTTCATCGAGCAGTGGTTAACTGCGACAAAGAACGAATATCTATACCGACGTTTTATTGTCCTTCACCGGATGCTATAATTGGACCTCCAAAAGAGCTGATCAATGATGATTATCCGGCGGCAGATTATACATATGTGAAGAATATTACGAGAA